CGACATACGAAAACCACGCTCTATAAGTCACTCATCATGCCCGTGCTGGTATATGGGGCAGAAGCATGGACAATGACAATATCCGATGAGACGGCTCTTGGAGTGTTCGAGAGAAAGATTTTGCGGAAGATTTACGGGCCTTTACGCGTTGGCGACTGCGAGTACCGCCGCTCCAGCTCTGAAAGTATTCAACTCGGAACCCGTTGGTGGTAAAAGAGGAAGAGGGAGGCCCCCACTGCGATGGAAGGATCAGGTGGAGAAGGACTTGGCATCACTTGGCGTTTCCAATTGGCGTCAGTTGGCACAGAAGAGAAACGACTGGCGTGCATAGCTGAACTCGGCCAAAATCGCTTAGGCGGTTACAGCGCCAAAAAAGAAGAAGAGAGAAGTTAACATTTGATGCTATTTTTTCAGAAAATATATAAAGTTTGCACTGTGTTGTTAGTGGACATGAAACTACTTTAAATACTGGTACGTTACGCATCAAAAACTAAAAATCTAAAAAAAATTACATAGCGCCTTTGCAAGTGGACTGCTCAAATTTGGAAACATGGAATTCTACGAGTTTTGTTAAAGAATGAACTATATTTTTTATTTAAAAAATTAACAAAAGTTCAATAACAACAAATATAATACGTTAAAACTTGGCAAAAAGTGGTTCGGTTATAATTTTTTACCTAAAGTTAAATAAAATATTCCAATCAACTTCAGTCCAATTTCTGCGATTGTTTTTAAACCCTCCGTTTAAAAAGTTACAGTCAACTTGTCAACAAGTGCTACTTTGGACTGAGTAGGCAATTCAGGAGTAAAGTCCTCTCTCGACATACGAAAACCACGCTCTATAAGTCACTCATCATGCCCGTGCTGGTATATGGGGCAGAAGCATGGACAATGACAATATCCGATGAGACGGCTCTTGGAGTGTTCGAGAGAAAGATTTTGCGGAAGATTTACGGGCCTTTACGCGTTGGCGACTGCGAGTACCGCCGCTCCAGCTCTGAAAGTATTCAACTCGGAACCCGTTGGTGGTAAAAGAGGAAGAGGGAGGCCCCCACTGCGATGGAAGGATCAGGTGGAGAAGGACTTGGCATCACTTGGCGTTTCCAATTGGCGTCAGTTGGCACAGAAGAGAAACGACTGGCGTGCATAGCTGAACTCGGCCAAAATCGCTTAGGCGGTTACAGCGCCAAAAAAGAAGAAGAGAGAAGTTAACATTTGATGCTATTTTTTCAGAAAATATATAAAGTTTGCACTGTGTTGTTAGTGGACATGAAACTACTTTAAATACTGGTACGTTACGCATCAAAAACTAAAAATCTAAAAAAAATTACATAGCGCCTTTGCAAGTGGACTGCTCAAATTTGGAAACATGGAATTCTACGAGTTTTGTTAAAGAATGAACTATATTTTTTATTTAAAAAATTAACAAAAGTTCAATAACAACAAATATAAACGTTAAAACTTGGCAAAAAGTGGTTCGGTTATAATTTTTTACCTAAACTTAAATAAAATATTCCAATCAACTTCAGTCCAATTTCTGCGATTGTTTTTAAACCCTCCGTTTAAAAAGTTACAGTTTTTATCTGCAGAACGCACGAACATATAATAGGAACAGTAAAGGCAATGCTTGAACATAACTTAGGTAGAAATGTACTTGAAGAAAAGAGTGCTCGCCCTCAGCACGATTTCCAAATTCTGCATCATGACATTCCTTCTACCTCGAAAGGGGCAAAAACTCGTGCAACTTGGCAAATTTAAAGATGCATCAAATTAATTTGCAGAAACAGTTTTTGAAAAAATTAATACGGAAATACAGATTTATTTGAAAAAACCGGAAAACAAAAGTTGTGACGATGTTTTAAAATTTTGGGAGAAAGCTAAAGATTTACCACTTCTTGGAAGTCTTTCAAGGCAAATTTTAAACATACCAGCTAGCTCAGTAACTAGTGAAAGAGTTTTTTCTGTTTCAGGCAGAATTCTGGAAGAAAGACGTACACGACTGCTTGGTGAAAACTTCGACAAAACATTATTTTTAAACAAAAAATATGAGCTAATGTCATTTTAAAATTACATACGTTGAATGAATATTGATACCAATTATTTTTTATACTCGTATTAGATACATAAGTATATCTGAAATTTGTTAAAATAATAATAGTGCCTTCAGCCCTTGCTAGGCGTTCGTCCAAGCTTCTGTAATAATACTTGTGTGTTAAAAGCTTATTTATATGAAATGCTATTTATATAAATAAAGTTTCAATTTGAAAAAAATGTCCGTGAGAATCCGTGCGTGAGCGTGCGTGATTGCAAAAATTGGCGTCGTGAGCGTGCGTGAACGTGATTGAAAAAAATACAGCAAGACGTGAGTGTGCGTGATTTATAAAACCATTAACGTGAGCGTGTGTGAACGTGAGCCAATATTACTCACGCGCCCATCTCTAGTATGAACTCCTTGTGTCATCAACAGTTTCTTTATATATTCATATTCGTATGTATATGTATACCCTGCATACCAGGATTTGAGAGTATTCTGAAAGGTTTCACATTTTTTTAAAGAATTTTCTTTAAGAAATCGTACAAAAATTTCTTTAATAGTTCTTGCCAACCGCTTCAAATATTTTTTTTTAAATATTCCAAAAAGAATCGTAACAAATTTCCGATACTCCTAAAGATTTCGGGAGCATTTGTTTGCAGGGTATATATTTAGTATATATGTATGTATACGCGGATATGTAAACAAAGCAAAACAGGCGATAGTTCGACACAAGCGTGCTCATAAGAAGAAGCATGGCTTCTACCGCTATCACCTGTAGTTGATACGCGTTGATGTATATAGCAACATGGGCGTAGCCAGGTAGGGGCAGGGGGGTGCTCGAGCCCCCCCTAACTTTCAAATTTTCCTTATATATATATATAAAATAGTACCCTGATTTGCCAGATTAATAGGGTCGAGCCCCCCCGCCCCCCACCCCCCCCTAAATTTCATTCTGGCTACGCCGATGTATAGCAATGTGATGTTTGTTAGTCAAGGAATGTTAATCCTATATGATTTTATTTTTTTTACTTTTTTCAAAAAATTCAGCATTTAACCGTTATTTTTTGACTGATATTTTTTAAGTCAAAAGTAAAAGTTAAAACTTGACTTTTATTTTATCGGTCAAATATAAAAGTTAAAATTTTTCCTTTATCTTTTCGGTCAAAAATAAAAGTTAAAAATTTGCTTTTATTTTTACGGTCAAATATAAAAGTTAGAATTTGACTCTTATTTTTTCGGTCAATTATAAAAGTTAAATCTCACTTACTTTTTCGGTCAAAATAGCAGTTTATATATTCACAATACAATATGTTTTAATAAAAAATGCACATCCTTTCAATTGCAGTTTTCTATCTTCTGTAAACATATTCAGCTTCTTTAATTTAAGCTTTAAGTTATTCACCTTTATACAGGAATGATTCGGAACTCAATTTAACAATTAATATACATACATAGCTGCCAAGTCCTGCTCCGACAAATTGTATAGCAAATCGCTAAGAATAAGCTTAGTGCTGAGAACGCGCGTTCTACACTAACTTGTGTCCCTGGCACTTGATGTATAATACATGCCAGATCTCTAACTCGGGGATATATAAATTTTTTACTCTCCTAGTAACCTATAAGGTCCGTATCAACATCAATACGCGGCTTCTTAAAGGTGCATATATCCATAAATGATTTACGGTCCCTGATTTTATGGGAGGAGAGATATAAACAATTTTTTCGATTTAAGCTGTTGAAAAGTAATGAATATCTAAATCCCGGTACTAATACCGGGATTGTGATAACGACATCCCGAAAATCCCGGGATCGTAAAAATCGAAAAAATTAACATCGCTAGTTGGTACATATACATATGGACACTTACATATACCAAGGCATAACAAGGTAGAAGTGATTTCGACATTTCGCTCTTTTGAACTGCGACTGAAATGTCAACTCTATACTATTCAAAATTGTCAAGTGAAGCGACAACAGTGGGCAAATCGCTGCAATGTTTTATTAGGAGACCCTTCAGGATGATTCATATACAACTTTCTTCGCTTTGCTAGATAGTTCTTTGCTTTGACATATAATATCGATGTAGGCATATGCATGAGTATGCTCACATAAAAAACGTTTGAGGCAAAGCAAAACGAAGCAAAATCTTGGGCAACACTCATTTTTTTTATGCTTTGACTATCAGCTGATATAATTTTTGTATTTATTTCCTTAAGGCGCTGGCCCAATGCAGGCTTGCTTTGCTTGCTTAGCTTTGAAAACTGTCAAAAGTTATTTGGAATATACTAAAACGTATGAAGGGTGGCCAAATGGCAGCTTTGCTCCACTTGCTTTAAGCGCCTCAAAGTTTCAAATAGGCAAATGTTTTATTTGAAAGCGTTTCGTAGGCTTTTGACAGAAAGATATGTTCCCGTTTTAAATCAATTCAAACAAACTGCTGCAGACTTTTATGTAGATACAAAAACTGTTTTACGTAATTTAAAAAAATATATGTATATGTGTAATAAAAAGTAATCTATGTTTCCATATTTATATTTAACATGTCGCTGGCTTAAAGTGAAAAGTTGCTATGTCCAATTTTACAAATTTTACAGGAACTCTGAATACAACATTTTGCGTGTTTAAAGCAAAGCAAAACTCCATACAAATCAGAAGGATTCGATCTCTGTTAAAAAAATTCGTATTATTTTGGCCATATTGCATATTGAATATAAACGAGGAAAAATAAAACAAGTATCTACCTTAGTCCTCAATTTCTCTTACTTTCTATGCCAAAATTTGAGGCTTCATAAAATGCAGACTTATCAACTTTTCACACAAAGCTAGCGATATTTATTATGTCAAACTACTGGTAAGTCGCCTCTTGAAAAATCGATTTTTTTGAGTTTTTTGTTTCTAATAAATGTACATATAGTTATATATGTATGTATAATTATTATCATTCCTTTGAAATGCAAAAATTAATTCACATTCATTTAAAAATAAATCTGAAAAGATTGTTTTGTATTTATTTTTTTTTTAATTTTCTGGAATTTGATGGTAAAATTATTCTTAGTGTAAGGAAACAGACCTTGACTTTTCAACTACACAGCTGGTTGCTTTGACAGCGTTCCAAGCCGCCATTTGGCCAAACGAGTTTTTGAAGTAAATCAAAGCAAATTAAAGTAAGCAAGGCGTGCAAAGCAAGCCGGCATTGGGCCAGCGCCTTTACACTCATAGCACACATCAGACAAAAAGGTAAATATGATGTTCTGATAACATATATTGTATATACATAAGCGTTTAAATTTAATTTTTCAGAAATAAAAAAATGGAAGAAAAGCTCATAGAGGAAACTAAATTGCACCCGTGTCTTTTTGACAAAAACTGTCATCTTTTTAGAAATAAAATGATGACGGAGCGAGCGTGGCAGGCAGCAGCGATTTCCACGGGAGCGTCAGGTTAGTGGTGATTTTTGAATTCGCTAAATCTTTTGAATAGGGCGAATTTTCACCATTGTTTTTCCTATTTACAATAGTGGAACAAAGTAAGCTACGCTGGAAATCACAGAGCGATAGATTTGTGCGTGAGGTGGCGACACAAAAGTCCAATGCGGGGTCCGCTGCAGACGAAAACACAGAATGGTGCTACCTAAAGTCCACGCAGTTTCCAATGAAACACGGTGCTACTAGGAGGTAAGCTACACATGTACTTAGTAGTGGAATTCAGTTGGTCATACATATGTATATGGGTATTCATGGAAATGCATAAATGCCTGGTAACCGCGTGAACCTCGTAAATAAACCAATTTTCCATACAAAATTAAGTACGTTTACGAGGTTTACATGGTTACGAGGCATTTACGCGTTTAGATGAATTGCTCTTATGTAATACTTTTTCCATTATCCCTTGCAAAACGATCTCCAACTTGCAATGGTGCTGAGAAGACCAGCTGAACTGCAGTAATTCGCCGCTAACTCCGCAGAGCGATTTGGAGCAAATAATAGAAGAATGCGAATGGGTAGAACTCACCATGATAAAAACATAGAACCGTTCTCTCAATTTGTCGGCCACGATTTTTTTTTTGAAGTTTGCCAACATTTTAAAATCATATAAAAGTGAAAATAAAAAATTGAAGTTGTTCGAAATTGTTGTTGCTTGAGATTGAAAATGAAAATGAGTGTGTGAGTTTGTGAGTAAAGTTAAAAATTAAATTGTTTGGAAACGTCAAGAATTTCAAAAGTGACTCTCAGCGGTTCTACCTTACTATATTTTTATCACGGTGGAGAGAATACAGAAGGTGGCGCCGACGGCAATACCGCTAATCGGCTCTCAGTGAATTTGACAAAATCAGTTGTTTTGCTGACGTCACAGTCGAGATGACAGCAGTGGTGTGCTGAGTCAATGCTTTTAAGTATCCAATACCCTCGATACTCGGTACCGAAACATTTAGGTTTCGAATAAAAGCGCACATAGGCCAAAAATATGCAAAAACGCCTATCAAAACCCAAATGTAGGAGCCAATAGAGCTTTTAATACTGATTCAAATGAAAGATGTATATATGTCGGTTTGAGGCCATAATAGAGAGAAACTCTTACTGTTTGAAGCATTTTTGTTCCAACTGAATCGGACGATATCATTTTTGGAAGCATAAGGGCAGATTCTATAACCTGTTAGCGACAATTTTCGAATCGGTATCGGTTTTGTTGACGTATGATATGAAATATTTTTACGCCAACAAGTGCGATATCGATCCGAAACTTGTCGCTAACTGGTTACAGAATCTCCTCCCTGACAGGCTTCTTCATCCTAAAAGTATTTTTCTTTAATCTTGGATCGACTAAGGTTAAAACTGATAAAATAATATTTCTCTGTTGCGATAAGTTCAAGAGTTTAAGCCGATATCATATAAATTAGTAATGAACGTTTTTTCTAAACTTGAAATGCATATAATGACGAAGGTTTAATGTAAAGAATCAGTATCGGGTACCGATAAGGAAGTATTGGGTACCGAAACCTTTTTTAAGTATTGGGTACCGACAATTCAGCACATCACTAGACAGCAGTTTTATTTGTCGCTCATATAAATTAGTAATGAACGTTTTTTCTAAACTTGAAATGCATATAATGGCGAAAGTTTAAAGTAAAGAATCAGTATCGGGTACCGATAAGGAAGTATTGGGTACCGAAACCTTTTTTAAGTATTGGGTACCGACAATTCAGCACATCACTAGACAGCAGTTTTATTTGCCGCTCTCTCTCTTACTCTCGCGAATTCTGCTGCAATCGGCGCAATCTTGTATTCTATCATTCTTGGGTAGAACTAGTGCAGGACGAGTGCGTGGATGCGGCGATAAACGATAGCCAGTGCAGCGTAGAGTCATCCAAAAGGCTCCAAAACGTCAGCGGCTGGAAGAAGAGGCACACGAACGATTTAGCCAGTTGTGTGGCACGATTGAGACTGTATTCACAGCAAACTCAAAAGTTGGGGAGTCGAAAAATGACGGTTGTTTGTTGATGGTAGACGATTTACTAAAAAAGAAACCTGAAGAAGTGCAAGAAAGGTCGATAATTGAAATTTTAACCATGTACATAATTCCAATTAAAATTTCAATTTTTAACCTTGTCCATAAATTTAATTACATATATAAGTGTTTTGTTTAACAAGTTTTTTTTTATTGATCTCTTTTACGAATGCCATTTTAGTGAAATATTTTTGAGTTATTACTAGACCACCGAGAATTTAACTTTCTCATTTGGCAAGTTATTATAAATATCATTATTTAAAACATATGTATGCAGTATAATACATACATATGTTTAAATATACATACATGTTAGAAGTTTACGCCGACAGGCTTTGCGGCGGCGACGTGGTCAACTTCAAAAATATTCGGCGGCGGCGGCGACGCCGGCGTTACTGCTCATAAGGTAGATTTCAAAGAGCCATGAGGCTACTAATCTTATCATTTCAACTCGTCAGCGTTAGGCACTCGCCATGCCAATTATTCTATTATTATTATTCTATTTATTTCATTATTGAATTAGTTTTAAATTTAAATATTGTTACTTCCACTTGAATTAGAATGTTGAGTGTCTGGCTCTGATTGATGGGCGAACAGAAGAAGGTCTGAGGTATATACATACATACACACACGGATCTCTATGTTCTCTACAGATCCGTATGTACTATTTAAATTTAAACAAATAAAAAAATTTTAGAAGTTTAGTTATTGGGGTAATTTATGTCGCTCTCAATAAATTTTCGCCATAATCTTATCAACCGTTATGTTAAATTACGGTGATCTTACGATTTTTTGCGGATTACAAGGTGGGTCTACTTTTTTCCAAAAGTTTAACCCATAACCTCGAACCAGAACGGGCCTTTTTGACCCACTGTTGAAAAAAATGGCTTATAGATGGTTAAAATTTCCACTAAAATATTAAGCGCCAAACCGAGTGTAATGAAAAATAATACTAATGTTTACCATGAAGGGGGAACTTTAACGGAAAAAAATCGTTAGATTACCAATATTCGACCCCAATTAAACTGTAATAAACGCTTTCGTCGAAAAATATGTTACCTATGTTTTTTATGAGTAATGCTATTTTTGGAAAAATAAAGGAGATCACATTCTTGTCCAGTGGCCCAAACTATGCAAAAAAACTAATTTAAAAATGTAATTTTCATTTCGTAAAATTGTGCTTTTATACAAGTAGTATTTAGTTCCTTCAAACGATGTATTCAATGTACATACATTATGAAAATTTTGTACAAAATTCCTTAGGCGCCGAACGCCGCCGCCGCCGCGCCGATATTTTCGAAACTCGGCGGCGGCGCGTGAGGAATGACAAAAAACGGCGGCGGCGGCGGCGTATACCTCTAATACCTATGTATGTATAAACGATATTATTATTTACTATACTTCATATGTATGTACATACAGCGAGGAGTAAAAATGAATATTTACAATGTTTTACATGTTGAAACTTTTTTTTTTTAATTTGTGATAAATATATTGTTCATGCTATCTATAGCCAAAACCGATTCAATTAAAGTTTCAAATAACTTTTTACGGTTTGGCTATAGGATGGATAATATTTTTTATCAGAAATTATCAAAAAAAATTTGACATGTACAACATTGTCATTTTTGCTCCTCACTCTATGTACATACATATGAAGTATAGTAAATAATAATAACATTTATACACATTTACATACATCGCTCCCCATACAAAAAAAAAATCGGTACTGTGTTTCTATTGGAATTATAAAATCTATTATATTTTAAGACGTCCACCAAAATATTTCTGAAAATATTAAGATTTACGTGAGCAGGACCGACTTGGAAATACCTCCAAAAATGGAGTTTTTTATGAATAAAAATAGTTTCTTAAAGATTTTTTTTGAAAAAAGGCCCTCAAATGACAAAACGGTTTAAGCTTATAAAGTTAAAAAGTATAAAAAAAATCCCAAAATTTTCATCTTTACACATTCATGTTTCTGGCATGCGGCGGACGATATGTACTTGCCAATTTGTTTTCCGAAAATTATTTAAAAAGTAGACTTCTCGGTTGCTCAGCAAACCGGTTAATAGTTTCTGCAATTATTACTTCACATTAATTCTCTAAAACAAATTTTCAATATATTCTTAAAATGCATAAACCTAAAGGTAAATTTTATAGGAAAATAAACTAACAATTTATTAAAACTCAAAATTTATTTAAAAAACTTCGTGCCATGAGAAAACCGTCATCTATCAGGTATACTCCAACCTTTAACAATATCTGGTATTAGTCTTAATCTGAAACGCAATATTCACTGAAAATTGGCGCCGTTTATGGTGAAAAGTATTTAATATCACACTTTCAAACAAAACCTTTCTTAACCCTAGAAGCCTAATCTATTTGGGATTAACGTAAAGCCTTAACATACGCCTTATGTACTTAAAAGATAACCTGTGAGCCAAAATATACTTAGTCCTACCTTATTTTTTTAAAGAATATTGAAGTTGTGAGTTTGGCTAATATAAAACATAGTTTTGTTAATAAAAACTATAACCACATTTATTTAAAAAAACAAAATAAAAAGTAAATTTTTTGTTAAAAATAAAAAAAATACCCATTCCATATACGCCTCGCAGACGTAGATTATACTTTTAGGGTTAATCCTTTCAGAACAAATATTTAACCACCGGTTATTCCGGATGGTTCCGTGCGCAGAAGTGGAAAACTTTTGACTGCCATTCACCTGGGAGTGGCCAGAAGCGATTCTTGTGCGTACGGTTCAAATCGCAGCTCACAACGTCCGGATATTTATATCCACGTATCCTCTGGGTAGCAACCAAACACCCGTTTGGGAGCGAGCTAAAGTGAGAAGGCGTAAAACTTCGCGTGCGCTGGGTTTGGGTCCCGCCACGTTAAAACCCCGCCCAATGAAAAATTCCAAACAGCCTCGGATGAGACCCCCTTTTTCTGATGACGACCACGGCAAACGTATAAAGGACTATGATTTAAGGGTATGCACCTGGAATATCCGGACCCTTAATGGGGAAGGTGCCTCTGCCCGGCTGGTTGATGTCCTCGGGAAGACAAAGGCTGACATCACCGCCATCCAAGAAATGCGATGGACGGGGCAAGGTAAAGTAAGCGTGAAGCCTTGCGACGTCTACTACAGTTGCCACGTAAAGGA